CATCTCAAAGTCATCAGGACAGCTACTCCACAAGTATGATTCCTAGCTCAGTTTACAAGGGCTGCGTTCCAGCTCCTGGACCCCTATTAACATTAGATTGGTGCTATTCAGTCATATGTATGCTGTGAGCCTGTGAATGTGACACCTAAAACATCCTTTCACATAGCTAGAGGTTTTACCATTATATATATATATATATATATATATATATATAATTATATATATATATATTTATATTTATATATATATATATATATATATATATATATATATATATATATATATATATATATATATATATATATATATATATATATATGCAATAAGATCACAGTAAACAGGTGATTTCAGAATTTGCAAAACAACCACTCTGAAAGAATAGAAAAATTCCAAGCGCTTTCGTGACTACTCACATTATTCAAGGAACTATGGATAGTTCCTTGATAATGTGAGTTCTCACGAAAGCGCTTGGAATTTTTTCTATTCTTTCAGAGTGGTTGTTTTGCATATATATATATATTATATATATATATATATATATATATAATATATATATATATATATATATATATATATATATATATATATATATATATATATATATATATAATATATTAGTTACTGGTGTGGTAGCACTGCATTTTCTTCGATGTCATTCAGTGGACACTTCCAAATTCTTCTTTACTGACGCATTTGGAGATCTAAGAAAATAAATTGTCTGTATAGGAGGAGAACATGGAGCTGGTTCATGGTGGTCAGACACCTGAACTGAAATGAAAAAAAAAAATTATATTTTGTAAACTGTTTACTTTTATAGCTCTTTTTCCTTGCATTTTTAGGAAATTTCAGTTTTCCAGCTAAAATCGAGATATTTGTAGAAAATTTTGATAATCTTTCAATGATTTAAATTTCATAATTGGTAGGGATAATAATGTTTGTATAATAATGCAGGTGTGTAATATTAATGTGACATTTAAAAGGTGGTAAGTCACACGAACCAATATATTCAGAGGCCTGAGCTTGCTACCATCTGCAGCTCATAAAACTGCCATCCCCACGAGCCCCTTTGAGGCGGGGTAGATGGCAGACCAGAGGCCTAGCTTCTCCCTACGAGCCCCGTGAGCGCGGGGAATGTGGCTAGGCCTGGGGACAGTTGGTCCCAAAGATGAGGGGGCACTTGTACCTCCTCCCATGGGAGACTTAAGTCTCGAGACACTCCCCAGATAGGGAGCCAAGTCCGGGTCACCACTACTTGGAAAAGACCCGGGTCGGGAGAATACCGGCGAATGTTATGTGTTCTCCCCCGAGTGTTGTGTGTTCTCCCCGAGTGTTGGGTGTTCTCCCCCGAGTGCTGGATGTTCTACTCCGAGTGTTGGGTGTTCTCCCCCGAGTGTTGTGTGTTCTCCCCGAGTGTTGGGTGTTCTCCCCCGAGTGCTGGATGTTCTACTCCGAGTGTTGGGTGTTCTCCCCCGAGTGTTGTGTGTTCTCCCCTGAGTGTTGTGCGTTCTCCCCCGAGTGTTGTGTGTTCTCCCCTGAGTGTTGGGTGTTCTCCCCCGAGCGTTGTGTGTTCTCCCCGAGTGTTGCGTGTTCTCCCCCGAGTGCTGGATGTTCTACTCCGAGTGTTGGGTGTTCTCCCCCGAGTGTTGTGTGTTCTCCCCTGAGTGTTGTGCGTTCTCCCCGAGTGTTGTGTGTTTCCCCCCCGAGTGTTGTGTGTTCTCCCCTGAGTGTTGGGTGTTCTCCCCCGAGTGTTGGTGTTCTCCCCGAGTGTTGTGTGTTCTCCCCGAGTGTTGGGTGTTCTCCCCGAGTGTTGTGTGTTCTCCTCCGAGTGTTGGGTGTTCTCCCTCGAGTGTTGTGTGTTTCTCCCCGAGTGTTGTGTGTTCTCCCCTGAGTGTTGTGTGTTCTCCCCTGAGTGTTGGGTGTTCTCCCTCGAGTGTTGTGTGTTCTCCTCCGAGTGTTGGGTGTTCTCCCTCGAGTGTTGTGTGTTCTCCCCTGAGTGTTGTGTGTTCTCCCCTGAGTGTTGCGTGTTCTCCCCTGAGTGTTGTGTGTTCTCCCCTGAGTGTTGCGTGTTCTCCCTGAGTGTTGTGTGTTCTCCCCTGAGTGTTGCGTGTTCTCCCCGAGTGTTGTGTGTTCTCCCCTGAGTGTTGGATGTTCTCCCCCGAGTGTTGTGTGTTCTCCCCCGAGTGTTGTGTGTTCTCCCCCGAGTGTTGTGTGTTCTCCCCTGAGTGTTGTGTGTTCTCCCTCGAGTGTTGTGCGTTCTCCCCCGAGTGTTGTGTGTTCTCCCTCGAGTGTTGTGTGTTCTCCCCCGAGTGTTGGATGTTCTCCCCGAGTGTTGTGTGTTCTCCCCGAGTGTTGTGTGTTCTCCCCGAGTGTTGTGTGTTCTCCCCCGAGTGTTGTGTGTTCTCCCCCGAGTGTTTGTGTGTTTCTCCCCCGAGTGTTGTGTGTTCTCCCCTGAGTGTTGTGTGTTCTCCCTCGAGTGTTGTGTGTTCTCCCCTGAGTGTTGTGTGTTCTCCCCCGAGTGTTGTGTGTTCTCCCCCGAGTGTTGTGTGTTCTCCCCCGAGTGTTGTGTGTTCTCCCCCGAGTGTTGTGTGTTCTCCCCTGAGTGTTGTGTGTTCTCCCTCGAGTGTTGTGTGTTCTCCCCTGAGTGTGGATGTTCTCCCCGAGTGTTGTGTGTTTCCCCCGAGTGTTGTGTGTTCTCCCCCGAGTTGTTGTGTGTTCTCCCCTGAGTGTTGTGTGTTCTCCCCCGAGTGTTGTGTGTTCTCCCTCGAGTGTTGTGCGTTCTCCCCCGAGTGTTGTGTGTTCTCCCTCGAGTGTTGTGTGTTCTCCCCCGAGTGTTGGATGTTCTCCCCCGAGTGTTGGGTGTTCTCCCCCGAGTGTTGGGTGTTCTCCCCCGAGTGTTGGGTGTTCTCCCCCGAGTGTTGGATGTTCTCCCCCGAGTGTTGGATGTTCTCCCCCGAGTGTTGGGTGTTCTCCCCGAGTGTTGGGTGTTCTCCCCCGAGTGTTGTGTGTTCTCCCCCGAGTGTTGGGTGTTCTCCCCCGAGTGTTGTGTGTTCTCCCCTGAGTGTTGTGTGTTCTCCCCCGAGTGTTGTGTGTTCTCCCCCGAGTGTTGGGTGTTCTCCCCCGAGTGTTGGGTGTTCTCCCCCGAGTGTTGTGTGTTCTCCCCTGAGTGTTGTGTGTTCTTCCCCGAGTGCTGTGTGTTCTCCCCCGAGTGAGACTGGAAGCTTAATTCTGCTGTGTAAAAATCCCCCACAATATTTTTGTTTGGTTAAAAATGGAAAATCTTACAAATATGAATAAACCTGTCTTATTTAATTTAAAAATGCGAGGTAGAAATGATGTATTATTTCTTCGCTTAGTTATGATGGCCATGGGGGAGCACTGAATCCATGGGGGAGCACTGAATCCATGGGGGTTATACAGAGCCTGGGAAATGGAGGACAATCAGGTTGGATCCAAGGAAGGAGAGATTAGCTCTAGAAGTTGAATTAATAATAATAATAATTATTGTTATTATTATTATTATTATATTTAATTATTATTATATATATTGTTTTTATTATTATGAGTTAAACCTGGGGAACTTTAGGTAATCAGGTCTGAGCCAAGGAATAAGAAGATAGTTGCAGCTCCTTGTATCAAGAGCCCTCCGCTGTCATCAAGGAACAGTAGGAGACCTTAGTAGTAGTCGAAGGTTTCAGAAGAGGAGACTCCAGTAGTAGTTGAAGGTTTCAGAAGAGGAGACTCCAGTAGTAGTTGAAGGTTTCAGAAGAGGAGACTCCAGTAGTAGTTGAAGGTTTCAGAAGAGGAGACTCCAGTAGTAGTTGAAGGTTTCAGAAGAGGAGACTCCAGTAGTAGTTGAAGGTTTCAGAAGAGGAGACTCAAGTAGTGGTTGAAGGTTTCAGAAGACGAGACTCCAGTAGTAGTTGAAGGTTTCAGAAGAGGAGACTCAAGTAGTGGTTGAAGGTTTCAGAAGACGAGACTCCAGTAGTAGTTGAAGGTTTCAGAAGACGAGACTCCAGTAGTAGTTGAAGGTTTCAGAAGACGAGACTCCAGTAGTAGTTGAAGGTTTCAGAAGAAGAATCTTCAGAAGTAGTCAAGGGTTTCGGCAGAGGAAGCTTCAGTAGAAGAGGCTTCAGGAGGTTGAGGACATCTGTGGCTCATTATGTGTAGTTCAGAGAGGCAGCTTCAGCCAAACTGACTTGAGATATCGTCTTGTCTCTACCTCAGAAACAAAGACACTGAAATTACAACTCCGTGTTGCGGCATCATGAGTGTAGAGATTTTATAACCATTGGTGAGTAGGAAACACATGTGGGTGGATGGGGTCCTTCAGCATATGGGAAGAGGACGATATTCAGGTGTGGTATAGGGAAGGGGGGAAGGAAACGTAGCAATAAGAACATGAGAATGTAGTAGCACTGCAGCAGGCCTACCGGCCTATACTAAGTACGTCCCTCTTAAATTCAAACACACTCTAACAAATATTTATCCAACTTATTCTTAAGGATACTTTATGAATTAGCTTAGATAACTCTACTAACCCATGTTGCGCAAGTCCCACTCAAATCTAACCCCTATCTCTTTGTATTTGTTCAACCTTTTTTTGAGGCTACCCAAGGTTTAGTTTCAATGACCTTACTCGGCAGAATGTTCTATTCATCGACGGCTCTATTTCCAATCCAGTGCTTTTCTACATCCTTTCTAGACTAATCTTATTCAATTTGAATCCATTATTTTGAGTTCTATGACTGAAGGAATATCCTCGGTACCTTATTTATATAATTTTCTTCACTTCATTGTGAAGTCTGGGATGATCTGCGGCGTGATTAGTCTGCATGTAACAACATTTATTCTTAATTTATCATGTGGTGTGTAAGTCAGAGTTGTTCAGAGAAACGTTGTCAGTAACTTAGGGTGAACTGCTTAGTATTTTTTTTTTTTTTTGAGTTTTTTAAAAAAGGTGGGAATTTTTTTAAGAGGCGGTGAGAGCTAATGAAAAATGCTTGTCCAAACCGTGTTTATTATAAGCCACTGGTGTATTATTCAAGTAGAAGACCTGCATTATGAAGTGTTTCAGCACACCAAGAGTCCCACAGCACTAAGACTACGACTCCAGTACTGTTTTAAAGCACCATGAGTCCTTCAGCATCCCATCAATGGATTCTTGCAGCGTCATGAGTCCTTCAGCATCCCATCACTGGAGTCCTGCAGCACCGCGGGGAAGGAAGGGGTATTGATGGGGGAAGGAAGGCAGCAAGAGTATTACAGTCCCCAGCTCATGTTCACCACAGTGATGAAGTACTCGTCCTCGTCGATGGCCTTGCTCAGACCGGAATAATAGTCCAAGAACTCTTGCTTAGTTATCTGTAAAAGGTGAAAAAAAAGGTGAGGGAAGGACTTAAGAGTATGCAGCGCGCTGGAACCCAAAGACCACTCAGTAATCTAAGGTTTACACTACTGGTTAAAACACCTTATATAAACAAAACTTAACAGCTTAGACCCACGCAAGCAGATTAAAGGGTTTTAGTGTACAAAATATTCCAGTTCACAAATAACCTCACTTCCGAGAGAAAACTATAGACGTGCAAGTCCGTCATGGATCATCGTCACCTCACGTCAGTGGGTCACAACAAACCAAATATTATTTTATGATTTCCTCTCGTGACATGTTGGAGACACTGTATTGTGACGTTAATTTTTCAGGATTTTTTTCACGCCTGTTGGAATTTAATATATAGAGTTACGCATCTATTTTAATTATTGTGGAGTTGTTTGAGATGCCCTGAATTTGCCAATTAGATTATCACCTTATGCTTGGTTGGGACAAGGTACAACTAACATACATATGGGTAATGAAAGTTCTGTTCATTGTGACTTTACAATGGTCAACTTGCAAAAAAAAAAAATGCTGACTAGATGGAAAGTGACCTTCTTACTTCTATAGCTTAGAGTAATTGCGCAGTGCAAATTTGTTTCAAATAAAATATTATGTAATTGTGATTCACTGACCAAGACTTACACCTATTAATATCTTTAGTAGTATTTTAGCTCTTAAACCAGTGATGGGCAAAACACGGCCCGCGGGCCATATTTGGCTGGGCAAAAAATTTTATCCGGCCCACCACTGTTCCTAGGAATTAATGAGAATTTAGAGCGTTTCATATTAAAAAAATATATTTGATTTGATCAAGCCGTAATCAAGAGCTGGTGTTGAGTAGTCATAACAACAAGACCCAGCAACGCTTAACATAGTATAGCAATAGTATAACCACAGACCGGGCCGCGGGGGCAATGATCCCCGGAACCCTCTCCAGGTATCTTCAGGTATACCGTGACCTGAATTTAAAACAGATACTCGAGTGTGGTTCCTCTCTATGGTCATCCCGGGGTGAGTGTATGTCAGCGCCACCTGTGATCCAGCGTGTCGTCCTACCTTCAAGTGCCGCCTGGTAGCCCAGTATATCTATTTTTTCTTTCCTTCTCTTGGTTTCTTTGTTTACGTCTGACCCAGGAGGAAATTGTGAGTCGCGTACCTCCATCTACTCCCGTTAACTGTAAGTATCTGGTCATATGTGAGCTTGTTTTGTTCTTAGTTATTATGTGGTTGTTTGCTCATGTTAAGTGCTAAGTATAACATATACTTAGCACTGAGAGCTAAGTATTTGTTACACTTATTCTCATACTGTATACTAGCACTGACTTCACTTTGGCCGTAAAGTGATTATAAATTATTCTGCTTCACGCTTTTCTCCCCTCAAGGAAGGTTCCTTGATGTTGGTGAGGGGCTCTTGATTTAGGGAATTGGATCTGTGCTCCAGTTCCCCGAATTAAGCCTGAATGCCTTCCACATCCCCCCCCCAGGCGCTGTATAATCCTCCGGGTTTAGCGCTTCCCCCTTGATTATAATAAATAATAATTCACGCTTTTCTTGTGGCCCTCTGTGAAGCACATTTAGTTAAGTGCATCTGTTAACCTCTGGCTCTTGTCTCACCTCTAATCACAATGTGATCGACTGTATTAAATATTTAAGATTTTACTATGAGAGAAGTGTGTGGTTTGTAAAGCTTATTTAAGCAAGCTAAGCTGATGGTATGGCCCACCAGTTAAAATAATTGTCCATCCCTGTTTGAAACAATAACACAGTCACAAACCTTGCCGTCAACGGAGGTGTTTGTCTCAAAGATGCCGAGGAACTTCTTGAGCACTTCCTCCTCCGTAATCTCTCCTTTCTTCACTTTGGGATGGTTCTTTGCAGAGTAGACGCCCTTGAGGTCCTCTATGCTGACCACGCCGTCACCAGTCTTGTCTAGATGCTTGAATACTGCCATTACAGCTGCCTTCCTTGGCTCACTCATCTCAGGCTGAGGAGGAGGAAGGGGGGAGGGAGAAAACTTAACCAATCCGAGAATTTGCTTTTTAAACTTGGGTGAATACTTAGCTTTAGTACAGAAAAGTTCAACATCTTTACCCAAACTTGGGTATTAAATTTTACACCAAGAATTGACTGGTTCACTATAATTAATAAAAAACTATTCTTGCTTAACATTCCTACCGGTAGAAGGCACAAAACTCTCTTGGACATCCCTCATGTCCGCCTCACCCTATGAAAAAAAATGAAATGCATATAAAGGGTCCCGAGATCTGGAATTCATTGCCCGAACCAGCAAAAAGCCCCCTGTCTGCCAGTCAATTTAGAGCTATAATTAAGTTACTTCATCTCCCAAACGTAATTATACCAGGCAAAACCAACTCGTCCAACTACTAATGTTTCTTCATCTCTTATATAACTTTCCTAACCTGAAATTATAGAAATAAACTACTCAAAAAATCCCAATTAACTTAAGGTCACTAAATCAGTTTAAAATATTAATACACACACATAAAATTGTACTATTGCAAATTGTACTAATTGTAGTAGTTTTTGCTACCTCTGTACTATAATTTTTTTTAGTATATTTTTTCACTACCTCTTTTTTTGTAATACACAAAATTTACCACTCCATAACATATGTCATGCTTTAAGTAGACTCTAAGCATTAGGATTAGTCTGCCCGAAATGCTCATGCATGTAAACTTCAGTTTGTTTACTACAAAAAAATCGAATTTTTGTTTTGTTTTACCTCAACCTTTAACCTCTATTTTATTCCTTCATCTACCTCTTTCCTTACCTATCCTCGTTAATATTTTTTTTTCATAATTATAATTAGATACATCCAACACGAATACTTCCAGCAGCTCTTCAATGCTCTTACACATTTAAAATGTATGCCCCAAAAAAAGTCTTCCAGATACATGTATTCTGTATTTTCTGACGTTCGCAGTGCAACTTTGCTCTCCAGGATGCAGCCAACAACAGTCCTAACACGGTCTTTCTTACCCTCAAGGCATCCAGGAACTCCTCGTAGTTGATGCCAGACTGACCATCTTTCTCGAAACCTGAGAAGAGCTTGTTGATGTCCGCCTCGGAGAGGTCGAGGCCGAATTGGCTCACCCCAGCGCTCAGCTCGTCCTTAGAGAGAGTCCAGGATCTGTCCTTGTCCAGCCGACGGAACAGCCTGTGGAGAATGAACTTACTGTCTGTCACGAGGTTAATATTATCTAATTTCACCATTCTGCTCACAGTGGAAATACTGTTTTTTGAGGGAAAGAGTGTGAATTTCGGTACATCTTTTTGTAGTTGTATGAGGATCTTAGGAGTTTGGCAGTGTGTTGCATTATTATTAAATAAAGTTATGCTCATGGAGAAGCTCTTGTGTATGCGTATGGCAGCGACAGTAGTAGCAGAGAAATATTAGCGGTTAATTATGGAATCAGTTGACCTTTTGTTGAAAGTAGACCGCAGTTTTAACTGGATTCACTACAACCAAGGCTGATAGAACGACACGGTGCGGCATGGAATTCAGTGCAATAAAATTGAGTTTTTGTTAAAAAGTACGATAGGAAATTACAGAAAAGTATTTCTGACAGGTACGAAGAACGAAAAAAAAAAATACCGTACCGCACAGCCTTGATTACAACTATTGCGAACTTTACTGAATCAACATTTTTTGGGGAGGTTACTTGGGCTGTTCGTAATTTTCTAAGTCTGAGAAAAAAAAAAACTCATTGTATCTAATGATAATGGTTTCCTTATCCCTGCTGCGTAACCTCACGTCCAAATTGCTCTATAGTTAGGGACTACCAGTTAAACATTTAATGATAGCTATTAGTTTACATGCCCATGCGTTAGGAAAACTATTCTAATTTGCAGTTGCTTACATTAGAGCGTGTAAATAAACAATAGATAAAGATGGTTTTTTTGGTCGCATTTAAAGATTTAGAAGCGACGTATGATAGGGCGGATGTTGCTAATGTGTGGAATAGGTGGCAGTTTCTAAAATCTATAAAGAATTTTTATGTGGACAGTAAGGCTCTGTTTAAGAGAGAAGGGGATTAGTTTCCAGTAAAAGTAGGCCTTAAGGATGTGTGTTCTCACCATAATTAACATATTTACAGACGGGTTGTAAAGATGCTAATGCTAGTGATGAGAAGTATGAGATTAGAAGATAACGAATTAGTTACAAAATGGGAATTGTCATAGTTGCTCTTTGCCGATGACACGATTCTTTCAGGAGATTCTGAAGGGATGTTGCAAAAGTTTTTGGATTAAATTTGGAGGTATGTGAAAGGATGAAATTAAAATGAATGCAAGAAAAAGAGTATGATGATCAGTGTCAAAAAATCCAGGAAATTACACATTGGATAAACAGCTTAAGGGCAGTTTGGAGAAAGTAAATGTGTTTAGATAGTATTTGTAAGTGGACTTGTCGGCAGATGGATCTATGAAAGATGGTGAACCATAGAATGGATGAGGGGAAGAAGGTGGATGATGCATTAAGGCATCCGTGGAAACAAAAAAAAATATATCCATAGAAGCAACAACGAGAATGCATCAGTCTATAGTCGTACTAACACTTTTGTATGGGTATGAAGCATGGGTTTTGAATGTTGCAGCGAGGTGGAGGATGGAGGCAGTAGAGATGCTGTTGAAGTCAGTGTGAGGTGTGAACATTATGCAGAGAATTCGGAATGTGGAAGTTAGAATACGGTACGAAGTTACCAGAAGTATAATTCAGAGGACTGAGGAAGATTTACTAAGGTGATTTGGGCATACAGAGAGGATGGGGCAGAATAGGATGAATAGGAGGTTATATATATCTGAAATGGAAGGTAGGAGGGGTAGTGGTCGTTCCAGGAAGTGTTAGTGGGGGGTCAAGAAGGTTTTGAGAGTTATTGGCTTGACCATCCAACAGGTTTGTGCGGTCTCGCTTTGTCGGATTGGAGATAAGTGTTTGTTTTTATGTTTCGACATGTTGTTATAACGCGAGCAAAGTAACATTTATGAAGGGATTCGTGGAAATCGGTTAGCCAGAAGGTGGGAAGTATAGTGTTTGCACACTGAAAGAGGGGGAGGATGCTACAATTCGGAGGGATCATCTGAGCTGTGATGTTAGAGCACTTCTGGCAAGACACCGATTGAGTGGTTTCCTACTTTATTTTTTGTAACCCTGCCTGCGTGGGAGACTGCTGGTGTGGTAAAAAAAAATCTCAGAAAAAAATAATCTATGGAATCAAAAAAATAGGGAAGGGGCGCGGTTAGAATATCTCTCCCTTCTTCACTATTTTCTCTGCGGGTACTTACTTTCCGAGGGAGAGAATGCCGGCGTAGCCTTGAGTTAGGCAGTGATTACGGAGCTTCTCCAGTGGGTCTGTGCTCTGCTTAAGACTCTCCTTGGCTGCCTCCTTCAGCTTGGCTTCCTGCGACATGCTGTGGAACACACACAGTAGTAGTCAGTCAACCTGCTAGTTTGTTAAGTGTAGAATTATTACACAAGAGCCATAAATGCCAAAATTCATCTGCATGCTAACATCAACAACTTAATTTTTAAAATACGAATTGTATATACACCGAGATATGTTAAGTTTAAGGTCTATATCATCATGAGAAACTCGTGCACAGGAGAATATATTCATTTATAACGGCACAAAACATACTCAACCCCTGCCAATTTGGATTCAGGAAAAATAAAAGCACTAACGATGCAATCATAAAAATGCTAGATCTGCTTTACACAGCATTGGAAAATAAGGAATATCCACTAGGAATTTTTATTGATCTAAGAAAAGCTTTTGACACAGTAGACCACGGCATCCTACTCCACAAACTTGACCATTATGGTATAAGAGGCCATGCGCTTGCATATTTCAAATCTTACCTTACTAATAGGTATCAGTATGTCACCATTAAAGACACAGCATCAACAACACAGCCACTTGATACTGGAGTTCCGCAGGGAAGTATCCTTGGTCCCCTGCTCTTCCTCATATACATCAATGATCTTCCAAACGTATCTCAACACCTGAACCCCATTCTCTTTGCTGACGACACGACTTATGTCATCTCTCACCCTAATCTTGCCACCCTCAACACCAATGTTAATGAGCTGATCAAAATATCGACTTGGATGACAGCCAATAAGCTTACGCTTAACACTGACAAAACCTACTACATTATGTTTGGTAGCAGAGCAGGAGATGCGCAAATTAACATTAAGATCGACAACACTCTAATTACCAGGCATAATGAGGGCAAATTCCTAGGCCTATACCTCGACAACAACATGAACTTCAGCACCCATATCCAACACATAACCAAAAAAGTATCCAAAACGGTTGGGATCCTCTCCAAGATACGATACTACGTGCCGCAAACTGCCCTTCTCACACTATACCATTCACTTACATATCCATACCTCACCTATGCTATCTGTGCTTGAGGATCAACTGCAGCAACACACCTAAAGCCAATAATAACCCAACAAAAAGCCGCAGTAAGAATAATCACTAAATCCCATCCCTGGCAACACCCCCCCCCCCACTCTTCATAGATCTAAACTTACTCCCTGTTCAGTACATTCACACTTACTACTGTGCAATCTACATCTACAGGACCTTAAATTCCAATATTAACCTTGACCTAAAACGCTTTCTTGATAGTTGCGACAGAACCCACAGGCATAACACCAGACACAAACATCTCTATGACATTCCCCGTGTCCGACTAAACCTTTACAAAAATTCTAAAATCCTAAAATCTGGAACACCCTACCTGAAAATTTTAAAACTGCAGACACATTCATCACCTTCAAAACTACCATCAGAAAACATCTTATCTCCCTGATACACCCTGTCAACTAATAATACGAATACCACCTGGTGGTTAACACTTACACTCACTCACCCATTTAACCATAAACAGAAATATCAATCTCAATCTCAAAATAATGAATCTTAACTAGTCATAAGTTGGCCTGTGATACTCCAATACTGAAACTATGTATAGTGCCAAAACAAAAGCATTCACATTGCTAAACTCACAACTAGTATTTAGTCACTTAGCCATAATACCAACTTACCTCATAATTTTGTAATATTTTAAACTTAAGATTTAATTTAAGTCTGCCCGAAATGCCTAGCCATGCTAGGTGTTCTAGTGGTACACTCTGTAATTATTATTTTACTACATGTAAACAATATAATAACCAAATTCTGTAAACTCAGCATTGTAATCCTTATAGAGAATAAACTTCGAATTTGAATTTGAATTAAGATCACAGTCAGCGATACCTTTATCCAAGATCAAGGTCACCTTTATCCACGGTCAAGGTTACAGTCAACTCTGCCTGTGCTGCACCTTGCTGACTTTGGTCGTTTATATAAATTTTTATTTTGCTGTGATGGTTTCACTTTTTTCATTTGTTCTTTATTTCAGTATATCGGGAGACTAAAAAAAATAAGAGTTATATGAAGATGGTTCGGGTCCATCACTATGGAAGTCTTCACTTAACGTCAACACTGACAACTCTACACAGTTTTCAGAACCAGCTCATTACAGTTTTAAATACACTGATTAATCAGTACACTTAATATCTTATTACATTATAGTACAGCTTACTTCCATGTATATTAATTACTATAGCGCACATGTTAAGCCATGTTTAATGTGTATGATTGTCTCGCCGTGGAGAGTCATGGGCAGCAGAAATGGGAGGCGACAGACTTATTTTTTAATACCTCCATTATGTACACGAATAACTTTTACCTAACACTTGAGTACTTCCAGCAGGTACTGGAGTCTCATACACACCGCAGTGCTTTCTCACACAGAATATATCACACTCCTTCATACATGGAATTTTCTAACACTCTTACCCCAGACTGCGACTCGACAACAGTCGTCTAACACACGGGTGCCTGTTATTACTACTAGCCTGGCAGGGACAGCAGAGGTCTACCTACCTACCTACCTGGTGTAAGGAAACTACCCATATGTTTAACCCTGCCATGGAATTGAACCTGGGGACGTTGCGATTGTGATTAGAATGCCAGTGCTGGAGCCAGCCATGCAGGAAGGGACTGGGGGAGCCGTCGTGTGCAAGGGGGTTGGGCCTCTTCCTTCCCCCGCCACCTCCCAACAGTTTATGACTGTTGCAACGTTCAGGAATTCTTTATTTTCTTTGTTGTCTAGCCACTCTAGTCTCCTCCATCCACCTTCACTCAACTGTTGTCTAGCCACTCTAGCCTCCTCCATCTACCGTCACTCAACTGCTCCTCAACTCTGTCTCTTGTCTCCCTCTATTACTTTCACAGCACTACACACCCATATCTATCAGTGTCCACATTTGTGCATGCCCCAGTTTGTGTTTATAAGGACCAGCCTCCAGCTCCTGACCCCAGACTCTTACCCACTAATTGACTGGCATTATTCCAACCTTGCGGCCTTCGTTATGTTTTAATTTAAACTTTCATCTACAAGAAATCTTGAAATCACTGCACTAATGCGCACAACTTCATTGCCCACGTCCCGGAATTATTGTTTTGCTCATTATATTTTAAGAGTTCCGTCACACCCTCGATTATCTAATGCAGTGATCATGTCTCTTGTGTATCTTCTGCTCTACTGTGGTGAGATTCGGTTATAATGTTCCCGTCATGGATCCTTAATGTTGTGGGCTCAACTAGTCTTGTAGTGGATAAGTACAATGAACCATACCACGGGCGGGGATAGAACCCGCGATCAGAGAGTCTCAAAACTCCAGATCGCGGGTTCTATCCCCGCCCGTGGTATGGTTTGTTTGCAGTCGTGTCACTACGAGCCCAGTGAACATTCGTCAGTGCTCAATAATAACCCACATGGAGACAGAAACACAGGAGGTTCATTGATCTGTATATTTCGACTCCCTTCTGGGATCTTCAGCTGAAGAGGGTCACAGAAGGGGAGTCAAAACAGTCTTGTAGTATCTATGCCTTCTCTAGGTCTTGTATGTTTGACTCTGTAGAAATTGCATGCTGGTGCTGCACATTCCTGTATTGTGTGGGTGATATCTTTGAGGAAGGAAATTAGGATTTACAGAGCGCTCTGGAGTCTAATCTTGTGTACTTAGAGTATATAATGTATCTCGCTCCTGGTCCCGCCTCTTACATTCAATCAACTAGCGGCGTTAATTCATAGCATCTCTAATCCTTGCTTGGATTTTACCGCCACAAAACTAGTTTCAAATTGTATAAATCTTTACACTGTGAACTCTTCCGACGTTCCTGTGACATGCCAGAGTGTGTCGTGTGTCGTTTCATTAAACTAACTTATTAACACTCATGTTCCCCTCAAAGGAGGTTCCTTGACGCTAATGAGGGGCTCTTGATCTAGGGAATTAGATCTGTACTCCGGTTCCCTGAATTGAGCCTGAATGCGTTCCTTAACCCCCCTCCCCCCATGATTATATAATAACACTCATGTTACGGTGCCTTCCGCCTGAGTGACTCTGCTCTCGTACCTTCAACGGAACGACGTCGTAATCATGTCTTCCCAAGCTCCTCGCTCTTCCCGTTAAGATGTTTAGCTTTCAACTTTTCCCTGTAGTTCGTGTCTCAGTTCCGGTAGCATACATATGAATTTTCTCGAGGCTGCTACACGATGCAGTTGATTACTCAAGTTGGTCTGTCGTAATCGTGTAGTATATCTATTTAGGGGATAATGAGCCGAGTTGTGTGTGGAGTGTCCGGTCGTAAGTTGATGTATATGACCGGACACTATAATAATTACATCGTCATATGTTAATGTATATGTAATTATTGTAGGACATACTACTATAATTCAGTTTTAGAAGTTTGCCACTTTTGTAAAGAATTATTACTTTTTAATATTCTTGAGATACCTTTTAAACAGTTTTAGCCTCGTGTTCTGCCGAGTTAAAATTTCGTCATTATATATTCACATTAACAATTTATTTAACTGGATCCTCTATCAGCACTCTTAACATTTCAAACTTATGTCTTAAATAAATCTCTAGGCTCAGCTTTTGTATCATTTCTTAGAGCTGTCTATTTTATCTAGAAAAAAAAAACAGTGAACTTTACCTCGGCTCCATATTCAGTTGTGGTGTGACGCACGTTCCTTGTTTAACATGCCGTCCATATATCTTAACGCTATTTTGAAACTGTCCAGTTTAGCATATGAATTTGTTTCTCAACTATTCGTTTATGTGAGGAAGTTAGGTGAGGATGGTGGGGTCGGGGGTTGGTGCTTTCAACAATGGAGTGAGAAGCTTAGTCTATGGCTCTGCACTAAATACAGGTTGTATTATTATATTTATATGAAACGTTCAATCCGTGTGGAACAGTCGGCAGAGTGACTGGTTATAACTGTATCCTTCGTTCACAAATAAGAAACTAAAACTGTGTGTGGTATCAGCCCACAGGTCCTTGTCA